TGATTCAGAACCGACTCCATGACACTTAACAACAACAACCTTATACAGGGGACCATGGGCAGAGGATAGAACACATCACATCAGGTCTACCCTACCCATTGGTACCAAAACTCAACTCTACCCATACAGCAACTCTGAAGTTCTAGAACTGAGAAAAGCAAGCTAACCTGGTTGGCAAAAAGCAGAAAGCACTGAGTTGGATCTTCAGGATCTTTCATGATGGCCCGGATCAGTTGTAGCATCGGGGTGATCCCTGCATAAAGACATTCCCTAGTAAGATATGGTGACCACACTCTCTCCCTTGTCCCAGCTCCTTAGCTGACTGAATCTTTCATCTTCATTCTATATATGCACTACTCTGTTCTATTTTCCTTTAGTGTCCTAATCCTCTTGGGTGTCCTCTAACACCTATATTTTTGGATAGATAAGCTATTTATCCCAAACTTACAACAAATCATGTCTGGTAGGTAAATTATGGACACCCTCAATATTCATATAAGCTCACTTTGGTGAAATCCTTCTAAGGAACCAATTAAAGACTCTTCTTCTAAAAGTTCCTTGGAGACTAGGATGGTCATAGACGGACTACACATATCTCCTGATTCAAGGATGAATGTTCTGGAGCATTGGATTTGCATTAGGTAAGTAAGTGCATGAGCTTTGGAATCAGGCAGACTCTAACACAGATCCTGCCTCTGCCCATTATCAATTAAATAGCCCTATGGAAATCCCTTCTCTGGACCTGTATTCTTATCTGTAAAATGGGAAGGCAAATACTTGCTTCATAGATATATATGCACTGTACATAGTGTCTAATACATACTAGTGCTAAATGCAATAGTCTTTCTTCCAGATGAGTCATTTCTAGCTGCTTCTTTCTACTTTCACTTAAAAATTATTAGATTCATTCAATCCAAGGTGCTGGGAGATTCCACGTGATTTATTTTTCTCATTCTATCAGTTAAAAAAATTAGGGTGGTTTACCTGACTATTGTTTTGTTTTTCAGATACTGGGGGACACTGGGCATTGCTGGGGATCCCCTGATTAATAGCTTGTCTATGAATACCAAACCTTCTGAAGTTTCCATGGTAATAATCCACAATAGAAGAAGCCAATGGTCCTACAAGTGACACACACCTGTTCCACCGGCAATCATTCCCAGTTTGTTTGCCACTCGGCATTCTGGTGGAGATTTTTTGTTGGGCTGAATGTTAAAATTCCCTGAGGAGCCAAGTGAAGAGAAGGAAGGAAGAATAAAGTCAACATAGGGAACTAAGAAAACAAATATAGAATTGAAACTATGTCCCGTTTAGCAGTTGCTATTGAAATCTGATTCTGGAACCTGTGTGAAATTTTGAGGTTAGCCAGTCCTGACAAATAATATATTTGAGGGACAATGGGGCCAGAGCTATCTGTCCCAGCTCTGAGCCACATGGTGAGTCATCAGCTGCTTCTGTTAGAGGGTCACTCCCTGGTGAGGACAACAGGCATAAGGCCAGGTGTGAATCTGTTTTCCCAAGTGGCATAGAGAACCTTCAGAGGCATGGTAATGCATCCAGCTGTTCCCATGGGAAGGGCTGAAAGCAATCTCTGGCTTATTCCACAGCCAAGCCTAAAGTGTGAATCTCTGAGGGGTGGGGATAAAAGTATGTGGGGGGAAGCATTATGTTTGCTTTAGTAATTTCCACAGCTGTCATATTTGGTAAATTCAAGTAGTTAGGGAGCTGGTCCTGTGGCAAATGGTCTGACTAATATGCCTTTCTGTAGTAGTAGTATTTGATCAGAAAGACAGATGGCTCTGGTCCTTACACACTGTTATCCATGACCAGAGGAAGTGAAGAAATGGGAGATGTGACTCAAAGAGAACAGAGGTCATTACCTTTCCCAATGTAAGTGAGCAACCCACTTGGGCCTCGAAACTCCACTACATCTCCAATCTTCAGGCTATCCAGGTACTGAGACATCTTCCCTCCCTGAGGAAACTTGGGGTGTACACCTTTCAGGTAGACCTGATAGATAGAAGGAAATTACCTTGTTTGGAATGTGATGGGTTTCTGAGTCCCCTTTTTATTGAACATCCCTGCGGCTGGAGTAGGGACCATACACATGCTGTTTTTTCATAGTCCACATATGTGACTTACGTCACCAAAGGACATGCCATCTCTCTTAACTATGAAACAAATCTTGAAAGTTTCTACAAATCCTACAGAGAGTGGGCTAAGGAGCTCCAGGAGTTCCTTTCCAACCCCTTACCTTGATAACAAGGTCCACGTAGCCTTGGTCCTCATCACTGGTGACAGGAGTGTATGGTCTGATGACCAGGCTGCCATCGATGCGAGCAGAGAGGTACACATGCTTGCCTGAGGACCATGCAAGGAGCTTACTTACATAAGGGTGAGTTGTAAATGCGCTGCATCCCCTTTACCTTTCTAAACACTCAGGAAGGTTTTAGAGAACAAGAATGTCTTGCTGCCTGCTATAGACTACCAGGCAGGAAGAGTTCACTCCTTTGAGCCCCTATTGGATTCCTCATAAGTCACTCATTGAAGAAACATATCAATTATTGCCAGGACTTTAGCAGCAGCAGGTGAGTTGAAGGTCTGGGTAATGGGGAAAAAATTAGTGCTTGCTCAAGAGGTCTTGGTATGGCACTCTAGGATAAGCACTGAACAGCAAAATCAGCAGTTCAAGTCCAAAAGCCACTCCTTGGAAATCCTATACAGGGTGGCTATGAGTCAGAACTGACTAGACAGTGCTAAACAACAACAACAAGAGGTGGTGATATGAGCAAATCGTTCAGGAAGGATGTTTAAGATGGCTGGGGCCACAGAAAACACTCTAGAGGGGTCCAGTGGCACTTCACAGACCAGAGTAAAAAGATCCAGATAGGGAAATGGGGCGAGGGATGTGGAGAAAATAGAGGGAAACAGCATGCTTTAGGAGACCCCAGAAGAGGAATCACCCTTGGGGTCCCAGGCAAAGGACCCCATTCCACACTTTGCTTACCCACAGGCAACCCTAGAATGTGTTGGGCGGTGGGCAGGGCAAAGCGAAATCTCTTCGTGTTGTGGCTCACAGTCTGAAGGATGGATAACGCGTTGTCACCAAACGGGTTCAGAGCTAACAACGCCCTAGGCCCATCCCAACTACCTCAGATGCTGCCCTGGGTGTTGTATGTTCATACCCAGGACAACTCTGGTCCAGTGCGTTACCCTGACCCCTTCCTCCACAGCTTACCGTCTTGTCTAGCAGTCGCAGCAGATACCTCTCATTTGGATCCACGAGAGTGACCCGCGGCCGGCGGGACCTCCGAACCAGGTAGGATACCACAGCCAGGCCTAGCAAAGTCAGCAGCCCCACCCCCAGGGAGGCCAGCAGGACTGGGTTCTGTGGGTAGAGGAGGCAGCGCGACAGTCAGACTGGGAAAAGAGCCTAGGGCGTGGGTGATGACTGTCACGTACGACCAGGCGTCCTGGGGGTGGCGATCTCAAGCTCCAGGGTGTGAGCAAGCTGGGGCCAGAGGGGTAACCTAGGATGGGTTACCATCCGGGACGCGCGGTACCCAGACCTTGGCATCCAGGGCGGGCCCAGCGCCCTTTGGGGCGGGGGCGGGAGTGAGAGCCCCTGGTCTAGAGGTGAGCGCCCAGAACCCCTGGAGCAAGACATGGAACAGGGGGTCTCACCGGCTGAATCCCCATGATCAAGCGGCGTGTCCTCCACAACCCCTCAGTGGACAGATCCCACAATGCGCCGCGGAGCCAGACGGGCAGCAGGGCCGTAGGGCGGAGTCGCTCTGTGCCCTACCCCTTCTCTCTTCTATTCGGAGCCCTGGGGCGAGAGAGCCACTGGCCCAATGAAAGGCTGTTTAAGACTTCAGAGTCAGCTCCTCCTCTCCGACTCTGTGGCCCCTGCCACTTCCATCCGCTTATCCTTGAACTGGATAGGAGTTCTGCAGAATGTAGAGCCGCCCTGAACTGGAGGATTGGAAATCTCCAAATCTGCGAATACTGAATTAAGAGGAGCCTGGCGTTGAGCCAGAAGTAAGTTCAAAGTGGAGCTGAAGGGACTGGACTTAATCATTGTGTAGTTCAGTGAGCTGAAATGCAGCTAGAGAATTAGACTGCTTGGTGGAAAATCTTTCAGGAAGGGACACTGGCGTGACAACTTCATTTCATGGTTCCTTTGGATGAAAACAAGGGATTACCCTGATGGCTCAGTAGTTATGAGTTCAGTTGCTAACGGAAAGGTTGGCCTTTGGAACTCATCAACCACTCTGTAGGAGAAAGACGTGGCAGTTTTATTCTGTAAAGATAGTTGTTGTTGTTAAGTGCTGTCGAGTGGGTTCTGATTCATAGTGACCCCATATAGGGTTTCAGAGGAAGAGCTGGTGGATTTGAACTTCTGACCTTGCGTTCACAGTCCAGTGCTGATCCTACAGCAAGCATCACACCAGGAGTCCTTCATAGAACTAGGGAGTTGAAAAACAATCACAGAACATGTGTACCTACCATGTGTTGTCAGGCACTGTGTTAGGCACCCTTGGGATACAGAACAACTTAGAAGACCAGACAGGCCCTTGAGGAATGCAGAGTTTGGGAGTACAAGTCCTTTTTTGGCACTCCATTGTTCTCAGAATAATCATCAAACATAGTTTACAGCTTCCCTATAGCAAGTGACCATTCTTTACCTACTCTTCCTTACATGGTGACAGACTCCATCTGCTTTCTTCCCTCCTGCAACAGTGTCTTCCATTTTGGTTTTTTCTTTAACTTTGTATTGTGAATTGGGAGAAGGTTTACAGAGCAAATCTGTTTTCCATTCAACAGTCCATATACATGTTGTTTCATGTAATTAACTGCAATGCCAACAATGTAACATCACTTATCCTAGTCTTTCCTGTGCTTCCAGTCTCCATTCCTCCTTTCCTAACCCTTCCTGCCTTCAGAACTTTGTCTTTGGGTAAATGTTGCCTTTTTTATTTCAAATGGTTGATTATTCTAAGGCATGAGTACCTTCCTATTGCTATTGTTCACCATATAGACCTATTGCTTGGTTAAAATTTGAGTCAAGGGAATGAGTTCAGTTCCAGGCCTGAAAGGTGACTAAGGATGATAAGTCTAGGGGAGTCCACCAGTCACTATCTGACCAGCAAGCCTGGTTTCTTTTATGATTTTGAGTTTTGTTACACATTTTTCTCCCACTCTAAGACCTTTTTACTGTGATTGATCCCTTTCTGAGCAGTTGGTAGTGGTAGCTAGGCACCATCTAGTTCTGCTGGTCTTAGGGTCATGGAAACTGAGGTTTGAGTATACAGACATCCATTGGACTAATTGTTTCCATTTTTAATTTTCTTTATTCTTCTTTGCTCTGGACAGAAAGAGACCAATTGTTGCACCTTAGGTGGCTGTTTACAAACTTTTAAGACCTTAAAGTAGAATTTAGAACATTGTCTTTGTGGAATGCTATGCTAATTGACTCTGGTGTTCCCTGAAACTATGGTCCTGAACGTCTCCCTCATTCCTTCAGGGTGTCTGGTTATGGCTAAGAAGTTTTCATAACTTCGCCTCCCTGTATGCCCCACCACATTCATGAGTATGTTCACAGCATAGATGAATACACAAGTAGAAATAGCCTTTGTCAGACTTATATATATTCATGGATACAGTGCTATTTTCTCTCCAACACCCATTCAGTCTGTGGGCCTATCCATGCATTTATTTGTAGGTCACTGTTGTGCAGGATTGTGTATAAAACAATATTTACCTCTGCCCTGTAAACTGTCATTTAATTCACAATAAAAGCTTTAAAAAAACACAAAACCTCACAACCATAAAAAAGACAATGCTTACTGGTGGAACCCTGAGACTATAGCCCTTGGTCACCCTTCAACTCTGAAACTAAAATCACCCCAGTGCTTCAATTTTCAGCCAAGCAATAGATAGGTATATAGGTGGGTATACAGCAATACCAGTGAGGCATGCACACCATGGAATGGTAAACCATTTGAGATTGAAAGGGCAGCATTTACCTAAGGACCAAATTCAGAAAGGTTGAGAAAGAAGGAGGAATGAAAATGGGAAACATAGGGAGGACGTGGGATAACTGATGTTATATTGAGGGGATTGCAATCCTTGAGATGGAATGAAGTGTGTGATTTGTTGAAAGAAAAACTGATGATCTGCTCTGTAAACCTTCACGCAATTCACAGTCAAAAGTTTTTAAAAAAAATATTGTACATTCTAATTCACGAGTATGGTATGTTGTTGTTGTTAAGTGCCGTCATGTCAATTCTGACCCATAGCGACCCTAAGCAGGGTTTCCGAGGCTATAAATCTGTATGGGAGCAGAAAGCCTCATCTTTCTCCCGCAGAGCAGCTGGTAGTTTCAAACTGCTGACCTTGCAGTTCGCAGCCCGATTCATAACCACTATACTACCGGAGCTCCTGAGTATATCACGCCAATATTTA